TTACTGCGTCTCTATTGAACAAAAAATAATTTGTCCATAAAAATTGGGGCAATCGTGGGAAGAATGTGAACTCGAGGAGACACGGCTTTGGACGGTTTTTCTCGCTCATTAAGTGGCGAAAACTCCTAAGCACGTGCCTAAAAACTCAGCTAATTGATAGAGGAAAATCCCCAATTATTTAGTCTTTGGAGAGAATTATAAAAGAAAAATTTGCTTTAATAGTAAAAAATTGAAGACGTTTTTAAAACTCGCTTAGTGATTCTAGCATTTTATTGTCTTTTTGAAAGAATATCTACTGCTCAACAAAAATAACTGCTAATTTACTGAATAGGGTATCTCAGTAACTCCTTTTCGCATCTCTGTTCTCATTTCTGTCTTGATATGGCCTGCCATATTTTTGTAGAGTAAAAAAGGGAAAAATATTTTAGTTAGCAACCAGCTCAGATAACGGCGGTGGTTTTAGGCGTGACGCTTTAAATCAAGAGATTTAAATACTTAAAAAGCGGGAACTAAGCCATTCAAAGTGCCTTTAGAACTATTTTAGAAGAAAATGCCAAAAATACCATTGGACTGTTTTAAGGACCCTTGTAAGGTGCAATAATAATAATGAAGACAAAAATGAGGGACCTACAAATGAGCACTCAAATCACTGATGATCCGTTGGTGTCAATTATGTCTTCCACCCATGTGAAGATACATGGTCCTGAGGGAGGTGAAAACCCTTGTTATGTCATTGGTCAGTTGGAGTGGGCCAATCAGCAGACCCTCCTTTGTCTCAATCTCCTCATGCAGTCTCCACTCAATGTACTTCGACGGCAAGCAGAGCATAGTCTCTAGAGGTGCCAACAAATCGCAAAACTTGACATTTTGACATTTGTACTTACTTAGAAATACAGAAATGAATCATCAGCAATATGATTTTTTTCACATTCTGGTGATACGTTTGTGGATGGAGAGTTTATTAAATGTGAAAAAATTAGCTTTCTTTTGTAAACAGTGCTGCATAAATAATGATCCTATTCCAAAAAAATTGGTAAATTGCAGGAAAAAATGGATGGAAAAGCGTTCTAGTAGAAAGTGGAGTGGAGTCACAACACATTCAATTAGTGATTGAAAGGTAATTATCAGTTGACAAGCCCTGGAGTGAGACATGAGGACTGTGATTAAAGTTGCACCCATTTGCTTGATGAAATATGTTAATGTCCATAAAAATTTAAAAAAATATATATTTAATCACAGAAGTGTGGATAGATGGATAAAGAATGAGGTGATGGATACGGAACGAAGAGATGGATTGATAAGGGATGATCAAGGAACGGATGCAAGATAACTATGGGATGATTTTAAAACGCGGAAGCAAAAATTTTCAGAATCACAAATGGCGAAGCTTCTCCTGCAGTCTCATCCATAACCTTTAAAGAATTTTGTGGTAGCACAATTCCTTTTGCTTCAGAGACAGTTTGAGCCGAGTGACTCAAAGTCAGGCGGATTGCTTTTTTGGAAAGACTCTTAGGTCTGTACAAAGTGAAAGTGTTTTTCATTTGAGTATTACGTGTTTATATGCGTGGAATGTGTCTAGGGTGACTTTTAGGATTCGAATACACATTGTTGCACCTGTTGAAGTACTCTTCTTCTCCTTCAGCGGAGAAGGAAATGCTGTATAAGCTCCTACCCAAACCAATCCCAATTCACCGCCTTTTGTCTTTTAAAACCTCGTCCATCTCAAGTTATTTGCCTACTGGCTCACCACCTACTCTACAGCTCTAAGGCACGCATTAATTCGTCTCCAAAAGACGGTGCTTACTCCTTGCGTCTGTGTGCGTGTGACGGAATGCAGACGTAAATTCACACCAGAAACTCCCCGCCTACCAAAGTTGGGTGGAGAGAGGATAAATTTGACCCACATTATTCTCATCCTCCTATTTCCACGAATACACTTTCAGGTGATAAGCGAAGCCTTTATTCGAACTCCTCGCAACAATAGGATGCTCTGTAAAGAGATGTGGGTTTGATTGATGTGGTGACAGTTGGAAGGGCGATGTGAAGGTGAAACTCATAGCAGAACTTCTGACTCGTTGGAGGAGGGTGTACTATTTGGTGCTCAGCAGACGATAGCAATTTTCCTTTTGCATAGATTCTGATCCATAGACAAATCATTCATTGCATCTCAGATGTTTCAGTGTTGCATTTTCTAACTTCTGATTGTTTTGACTGCCACTAGTAACACATTGGCGTCTACTGACCAGGAGCCCTCTCTGCTTTAAGTTATATTGTTGTAGCATCAACCGGCAGTTATCCTACACCCACAAGGACACAAATCGCAGCTCTCGCAGATCTTAATGTCATTGCTGCCACTTTGGAATGTAGTAAGAAGCAGAAATGTCTACATTCAATGCGTTGGAGGAAGCAGTTATCTCCTTCAGGAGTCATTTGCAAGTGATTAGGAAATTAGGCTCTAATTGTACCGTTGAAACGGATGCAGTGCACTCTGGAGGTCAAGTCAAGCTTCCTGTAATGGAAGAAAAAGGAATGCTGAATTTGACTAGCCAATCAGTCGCCAAGAGATTGTCGAAAAACGAACGGTTTTTTACTACTTAATTGCACCATCAAGTTTCAGTAGCATGTTCGCGTTTAAGTAGTCTAACCTATTGAGTTGAAAACGCAAAAGTTTGTAATTCTACCTCTATTAAAAGTGAAAAAATGCGACTGTATAATTGTCAGCTTGCATTAGACTCACTTGTACGTTTGACGGTAGTCAATTTTGGGATTAGTTCAAATTCTCCATAAACGGCCAATCTATCTACTCTTATAAAACTCCCCTGACCGAAAAGAGATGACGCATACTTGAGCTAATTCATTCGTTTCTCCACAACAAATGAACTGAAAGGGGTTAGGTATGATCATCATTTCTGGTAGTGTACTTGACTATGACATGACGATGGTTTGTAACGGGTTCAGCCTCTTTCCCTCCTTCACCTAGGCTTTCACTTCGATCACAACAAGCAGGCTGATTGAGTGGTGGGATTTCGAACAAGGAAACAAATTCCGGGAAGAAAATTGGGGTTTGTTGCTTCCTCAGGAGTCAAAGACGTTTGCTGCGGTCATAAGCTGCCTTCAACTGCTTCCCAGATAAGACGGTACATTAAAACAAGCACGCAATTCAGATATGTTACACAGTTTTTCGATTAAAAGGGGCTACGGAAATTAAAAATATGTGTATTATTACCCCGCACAAACAAGACGTACACACACGCAAAACCTACCCTACTTTGTCCCCGTCCATCTGTCTCGATGAAGCCCCAGTATCCCAGTCTGCAAGGTAAGTGCTTAGGGGAAAAATAGGACATAAAAAAGTTTCCAATGCCATAAGGTTTACCTGGATACAAAACGTTTCCGATTTTTTTGCTCCCGTTGTTTTTAAATAAACGAATTTATCACGATTTTATCTGCGCAATTTGGGGTAAATCACGATTTTTTTTCAGTGTAGATATGCGAAATTTCACCAAGGGCAAATTACTTTTGGTGATGAAAAAGTATTGTTTTCCTCCATCAGTGCTGTTTCAAATGATTCCCATATTATCGCACCTTGAAACTTCCATAAGGACGAAGGAAAACATAATACGATGGGAGAATGGGCATTGCCGATGCACAGTAGGGCTTAGGTTTACTGACATAACTCGGAGTCCCTGCCACCCAGCGGAATTACAAAGCCTTAGCCTTTAGCATCCGCGTAACCAAACCAAAAGGTGGTCCTCAGTGCTCCCCTTAATCAACCTCCCGCGTCAGCCATCACAGTGTATTCGTTGTGGAAAAGGGATACTTGCAAGTCAACAGTACCAGTCATCAAACAGCCATGCAACTGAGGCGCTACTTGATCGCAAGGTCACTGATCCCTCTTGGCAATCTCGCTGGGCCTGAAGTTGCCTTCTGTGTGGGAAGTAGATTCGGGAACAGGGGAATGTGTTGACTATTACGCGTGTCCAGCGCTAGTAGTAAGATGACTGTCCCAAAAGCAGGGTCATGTAACCAAAAAAAAACGAGATTGAACATGGTTTGTTGGGGCAAAGTTTAGCTTCTATTCCTCCTTGCCATATTTGTCTAGCTGACTTATGTTAAGCTAGTAAAGAAGTGGATGAGACATTGCGAGTTCGCATACAGAAACGGTAGATTGCTCTATGATGGAACTTTTTTAGATGGTTCGGGGAAGGTGCCGATTCCCTTGTTGATAACCTTCCTGCAGGATGCGGGACTAAGGTAGTTGACAAAGATCGACTTCATTTTCAGTTTTTCTGTTGGGGGTTATCACCGATTCACCCCATTCTAAGCAAAACGCCTACTTTTATCACCTAACAGAAGGTATCAGATTATTTGTCCTTTAACTTCAGGTTTGCTTTTTGTTGTCAACAATGCAACACTCCTACACTTCCCTGACGATGAAAGAAGGCACTGCTTGCGGTAGGGCTTGGGGCTACTGGCATTGACAGTACAGTTTGTGCCGTAGCACTATAACTTGGCATAGCTTCAGGAAAGACTCCGGGTGCCACATAAGATATAACATATTACATCTAGCTATTTGTATTAACGTTTAAGGTGGCTGAAAGACTATGAGAATCGTTAAAGTTCAATAACGTTAAAAGGGCACAAATAACGAATCCCATGGAAACCTCTTAAAAGGCGATGCAGTTATGCGGTCAAAACACAAAGTTTTTAACAATTAAGACTTGGCTATTATTGGCTCAATACAAATACATGCAATCTTACCATTGGAAAGCACATATAATCTGTTAAAATAAATAATTTTAGTAAGTGTAAGAGAAGCTACCCTAGATTTGATAGTGAACTCGCACAATTAAACGGATCTTCGAGCAAATAGTAAAAATTATGATACCTATACCGAAACGCTTGTAGGTGAAAGACATCTGCTCGTTCTTTATAATGGGTGCTAATAAACGCGCCGTGCGTGAAATAGTCATCACGAGTCCGAAATTACGTGGTGGATAATGTCCGGGAGCGCGCTTAAAAGACTGATGGCTGAATATAAACGTCAGTTTATTGGTCATTCAGTTTGCTTCTTTTGTCACTTTTGGACTCCCTATTTCCACTTATAACATAGGATTTTCGCAAGGCTATAGTGCAGCTGCTCACTTTCCTTATAACTCTGATGCTTTTTAAGAGCTTACTGACAACCCTCCTGAAGGGATTGTTGCGGGTCCAGTTGACGAATCCAATTTCTTTGAGTGGGAGGCCTTTATTATGTAAGTTTTTGTGTCGAGAATCTGTCATAGTGTCAGGAAATTAAGCTACATTACCCCTCACATAAGTCTAGCTTTCCACAATTTAAAAAAGTATTGACCATTTTAAGTTCCCTCTCACAAGTGACGTTAATATTCTTATGCATTATAAATGTCAGCACTACTTAGCTTTTTAACATTTTTAGGGGTCCAGATGGAACACCATTCGAAGGTGGAGTCTTCGCTTCGCGCTTGTCTTTCCCTCCTGACTACCCACTTTCGCCTCCGAAAATGCGATTTACTAGCAGCATCTTTCATCCTAACAGTATGTCTTGTTCTTTTTCCCAAATGTCAATTCAGCAATGAGGTTTTATTGTCATTTTATTATTTCCTCCTTCCTCAAGTTTCGAAAAATATGCTCTATTTTCTTTTACTGAGATTTATATGTTCCTAACACACCTACTGGAACATAACCCGAACCATGTTGCATGCGCAGTTTATAATTCTGTTGGATTTGTGGTTATTTCACGGTTGTGAGTACTGATCTGTTTTTCAAAAATATTTTAAATTGGTGTCAACCGGTGTTCAAGAATGGTTTTTTTTTATCATCCGATATGTGGTAACTATAAGTTTTGAGGTTTACTACATTTAGGCATTTATTAGAATGCATATTTCATTCTCTTACGGCAAATTAAAACGTTCCTTATCTCCCCAAAACCACATCTTTTGTGTGTAAAATTCAATTGTCGTCTACGAAAGAAACTCTAGTCTTCTAGAAACCGAAAAATTGGGGTTTATTGCTTTTTGCAAGCAGTTCAAGATCCATCTGAGATGATCGGGCAAATTCATGTAATTCTCATTGTAAGTCGTTCTAATGACTCGTTGCGACTCGGAAAACATTAGCCCCACTTACGATTTTTACGGTACCGATAGGTATGCCGTCTTCTATCCATCTGATACACCTTATTGTGCCTTGTACTATTCGTTTTCTATTTTGAACTGACTTTCAGGTTACAGAGTGTTGGTTAAATTCGTTAGATCTAATCCAATGGAGTCTGATTTATGAACTGAGTTTAAGTCTGTTCCATGGCTGCAGAAATTTCTCATACGACTTCCTTCATGATATGTGGAGAAGTTGGGGTAGCAGAATTTCGAACCGTTTATATACTGTTGAAGTAAAAAATCGAGCTCTTGCAACGATTCACTTGAGGATAGATATGTTACGGTTGGAAAAAACCTGTTGTTTTAGTAGCAACAAAGGAGTACTGGTCGCACGAGCCAGGCGTATTTCCACAGCCATCTTTGGGGGAGATTGTTCATGTTCCGAAGATGGCTTGGAATCAACCCAAAAGATCCAGCTGTAGCGTCAAGCTGTTTCTAGTCGTTCGTTATTGTTAGAATGTCAACTAAGTTAGATCTCGTTGCCACTTAATTATAAGAATGCATGGGGATTGCTATTATTTCCCCTATTCACGTTCTCTAGCATTACCGCTCCGATCCCGACTGAGGTCATCCCTGGTTTGTCTTCCACGTATCACATAGCTGACTGGGCCGCGGCCGTGAGGTCAAAGCTAATTAAAAGTGTCTGGTACAGCGGAATTGCATTCCTCAAAATTGCTGCGCTTCCACTGTATCTCCATCAGTTTGACAAAAACTTTTTCTTCGTCACCTCAAGCTACTGGCAGTAGCCTTACAACCTGACCAGAGCTCGTTTGAAAAGCGGTAAATAGAATATATTTTATTCTACACTGAAGTTACCGAAAAATTCACGAGCACGTAAACTGGAATAGGTGAAATTTGCTATGGAACCGATTCTTTCCCCCTTTAAATTACCCCTTTAGTTTATCCCGACGGTCGAGTATGCATTTCCATCCTCCATACTCCCGGTAATGATCCTCTTGGCTACGAAACTCCCGCGGAAAGATGGAGTCCAGTCCAATCGGTGGAAAAAATCCTCCTTTCCGTTATCAGCATGTTGGCAGGTGAGTTGATGGTGCTTTGAAGGTGTCTATTCACTTGTTCTTGAGTTTAGTAGACATTAGTCCATGCCTTTAGAACCGAATGATGAGAGTGCAGCCAATGTCGACGCGGCAAAGACGTGGCGGGAGAATCGCAAACTGTTTGATGAGATGGCGATGCAAAGTGTTCGAATGAGTCTCGGATTCCCCGCAGAGGGCGATGTCAATTAGGAAAGTGATTGATAGTGACTGTTCGTTTTTTTTCTTCTATGACTTTTAAATTATGCCTTATTACCGTTTTTCGTGTTGTTTTTTTTTTCATTGCACGACCCACGGAATAAGATGACCGTATTGTATCAGTAGGCTAATTCAGTAGTGAGGCTAATACGGTAAGAGAGGAATTCGTGTATCCAAAGTGTGATCACAATGGGACTAATCAGACTCCCGAATTCTAATAAATCAATCTAAGGGCGGATTAAAGTGAGTCTTCTTACTACTCGTCGATCAGGCGTCTGCAAAGAGTCGTTTTACCTGCCGAGATCCCGGTAACCGAGGTGTGATTGCCGTGTTGATGAGATGTCAACGCTACCGCCATGGTCGAAAGCGTCGCCGAAACACGTGCGGCAGTTCTTGAAGCGTCGACGGCATTGCGGAAACCAGGCGTCTCATTGCCGCGGTGTGATTGAAACCCTCCAACGATACCACATTGGCCTCGGGTTGTGCGCCGTCAGTCACGGGAAGCTATTAACCCTGGTGAAAAGGGACATTTGACACCTACCAGTGCTTGTAGTCGTGTCATGATCGCATTACCTTTTATTAGCTCTACAACCCGGTGCAGCAGTTCGGCTTGAAAGACGCTCCTCCAAACTACAGATATTTAACTCCTCGATTCCGTAATTTGGAAGAGCGGCCTAGCTAAGCGAGGACCTAGTGGCTTCCACGACTTTTCTTCCCCCTTGGAAGTTGGCCTTGTCAGGCTAGTGGCGAAGTTGGCATTTCTGTAGGCAAAAAGACACCGACCTGAACTACATCCAACCACAAGGCCTTTAGGCGACAAAATTTGTCAGAATTTGTTTTCTGAAATTGCGTTTATGTTCGATGGAAGGAAGAAAAAACGTATCATATAGAATAGTGAAAAGAAGAAGGAGTGACCACAAAAACGTCCGTGACCACTTTTCTCGCACATCAGTTATGATCACCACCATCGCCCTCCTCAATACCATCACCATCGTCATCTTCGCCCCAACCATCATCGTCAAGGAGATCTTTCTTCAGACTTGTAGGCTTTTGAACGCCTTCACTGGCACCGATATTGAAAGCTGACAATTGTTGCTCCAATTCTACATCAAAGTCATCTAATCCGAGGGGCTGATTTCCTGCGGTAGGTGGGGAAGCAAATAAATCCATTACATTTTCCTGCTGTCCAGCATCATGAAACGGTTCCTCTTGCTCTTCATCCTCTTCCTCCTCCACATCATTTCGAACATTTTCTTCTGTGTGGGCTTGCGACAACTTCAATAAGTCGTCGATGGGATCGCTCTTGCTTTCAACAGCCGAGGCTGGGAGTTCTAAAGGCGCGAAAACATCCCCTTCTTCTTCCTTCACTTCTGACGCTTCCAGAAACTCGGGAGTTAACTCCTTTGTTTCATTAAAGTCACGGAAAGGAGTAAATCCTCCTTTATCGTCCTCCTCTGTTCTCGCATCCTGAGTTCCAAATAATTCCTCAATAGGATCATGGGACGGGGTTCCCGTGAGTCCCACTTCCTTTTGAATATCCAGGAGATCAGCCGACAGGGGTTTAAACGAAAGCATCTCCTCGGCAATTTTACGTTCCCATAGAGGAGTTTGTTGAGGGTAGGCTGTGGCGGGTAAATTTCTGCGCTTCTTGTGGTCCTCCGCGAGCCACTTTTCCGCGGCAAGGCACTCCTGAAAGGTGAATCAATTAAAATTTTAACAAAAAAATTGTTAAAAAATGGAGGGATTTTGCGTCAGGTAAAATACTGAAGATCTGAAAGCAATCAACGCCACAAAAAGCTGAGAGGTAATCCAGAAAGGCAGGCAGACAGCAGTGAATTGACGACGATGAAGGCTTTCTGAAGTGTACGCGCTCGTGAGGAAAGGAGGTGCGAAACCTGATGACAATAGAAAGTTTGGAAGGCTTCAAGCACGATACATTTGGGTAATGTGAACGTTTCAGGGCGGCCGTTTGTCTGTCGGTCGGGGGCGATCTCGGCCACGATTAACGCGTTTCCGTCTTACCAATATAACAACAAAGCTTGAGATCGAGTAGGCAGCACATGAAATGCCGCTTTTGGACGCCTGTCAGGTGGTCGTACCATACTACTGAAATTGAGTACCTTCTAGTCAACTCTTTCTAGAGTCAACCAGGTCTTAGACTTCAGGAGTTAAGAGAAGTGAACGGAATGCGTAGGAATCCACATACCTCCCAGTGAGGAAATAGATTTGGATACTGAGATGGATTGGCTAGGGCTTCAGCCGCCTTAGGATGTGAGACTTCAAGCCACTTTCGCCACTTTTCAACCGCCTCCGGCACCTTACTTGGCAAATAGGTGCGTGCAAAGAACGCCGCCTCGGGGTACTTCTCACTTTTAAGCAACAACTAGAAATGTGAAAAGAAAGCACCTTACTTAAGTAGATCATAAAGGGTAGCAAGGATTTTTCAGGAGAAATTCTATGGAACTAACCTCAAGGCAGGCTTCGAGATTGCCGAGCAGGAAGTAGGCGAGGAAGGCGAGATTATCGACTTGCGCCGCGGAGGCGTCGGAAGCCAACTTTCGCATCATGTCAATGTCACCACGACTGGTGGCGATGAGGAGGAAACTGGCGTAGTCTTGAGTCTTGGCGAAGCATTCTTGAGCGAGAGAGAAGTTGCATGCCTTCAAGGCCACTTCGGCAAGCTGAAATGGTGGAAACGCCAGATTGACGACTCGTGCCAGCTTTTGCGAGTACAGTCTTAGTGATTATACAATTCTCTGGTTCATCAGCAACAAAGGCATCAGGTAGGCAGAAAAGATCTTTAAGCTGGTTTTCAGCTCACCTGTTTCCACTTTGCCTCATTTCCCTCCACATCCTCCTCCTTGATCAAGTCATACGCCGTCGTCACGTCGTCCAACTGTATGGCAAGGTCATATTTGTGTTCGGGGTCAACCGTCACCTGCATGGCCTGCCGTTTGAAGCCCTGGCGCTCCAAGAAGTGAGCTACTTTCGTCCTTGCTGCCGTGGGAACGTTTGGAAGGATGGCGTCGGCCGACTCAAAATCGCCACGCAGTACAGCACTCTCGTACTCTAAGACGGAGAGTGAGAGCGTGTAGCTGACAACCTTTTTGTGGTAGAAAAAAACCAACCGATAAAAAGCGCATGCTACCGAAAATGAATAAGCAGTACTTTACTACTCCCCCACCTTAAGATCACGGTTAATGAGGAAGACGCGATTTTCGGAGGCTAGATAGCCAAGGAGATACATGGGTTGGTCGAGATGGGCAACTGAGACGAGTTCACCACCTACGTAGTACTGAAGACGATTTGTGGAGTTGGTGAAGAGGAAGGCTTCGCCAAACCAGCAACCAGTCTTTACGGATTCCTTGACTTCACCATCGGGAATTAGCTAAAAGAGATTTGTTGGAATTGGAAGGACGAGTATGGAATGGGTGGATGGATGAATGCACGGAAGAATGAAACTTAATACAACACATTGCCAGAATGAAATGAGTACAGTGGTTATCATAACTCCTATCATTCTCACCCTTTCATGCAGGCCATGTCGGCTTCCAAACTATTAGTGGGTAACATACCTCAAAAGCTGCTTCAACTCCATCAGGGTCAGTGATGCCTTGGAGCATAGCTTCCGCAATAACCTCCGGTTGATATCGAAGAATGTAGAAGGTATCCTTGGTACAAATAGCCACTTGATTTCCATTTTCCGACCAATGAACGGACACCGGAGTGACGTCGATTCGACGCACTAGCAGGCCAGTTGACCAATCGTAGAAGGTGAATCCAGCCACCGAGCGGACACCGAGCAAGTGTCCGCCAAAAACTTGATCTGCTGCAAAATCCATTTTAACAGATTTGACTTCCTTAAAATTCTTGAAAATCTGCAAGAAAGGAGCATCAATATTCATTATTTTACTGAAAGCCACTAAAGTGGGGACGTAAACATGCACGGACTAACCTTGAAGGTGGAATTGCTCTCCAAAACAGCATAGACGTTCGGATCAGCCTGAGACCAAACAAATTCAAGAGCTGAACCAAAAGTTCGATTACGCAGAGCCATGGCTGTGTAGACGATGTATTCACCATCGCCACAAACCGCTAAAAAGCGACCATTGGCGTTGTGGGCCACTGTATGTGGGAAGATTTCTGAAGCACCCATCTCCTTGTAGACCACAGGTAGACGGGCGCCATCCTGAAATTTGTGGAAGTTACGGCTACTTAAAAGCATATAGATTGAATGAAGGTAGAATGATTGTAAGTAGATGCATCCGACATGGTTCGATGTGGCGTCAGATCAATGGATGGACAGTTGAATAGATGGATGAAGGGACCAAGAATAGGATATTAATAGACCACGAACATACGGATGGAATCAGAATGAATGTGTGGAAAGAAGGATGGCTTAAAAATTAGTTCTGTGGAGGAATGGGTTAAAGATGGACACAAAATGGAAATGTGTACCCCTACACTTCCAAACAATACCACCTTCATCCCCCGTTCTCTACACGAAGGGAAGAATGGACGGATGAAAGTTTCGATAAAGGGATTGCTGGATAATTGGAGGCGAAAATAAACAAACCCTATTATGAATAGATGGTAAAATTTATTGCTTACTCAACAGATAACCTGAACAATTCCTCACTTCAATTATGCCACCTTCTCCTCCCGCCCCTTCCGTAGCCCCTGGAGCACCACCGCCCCCGCCCGAAGCCATTGCCACTGCAATCACCGAGCGTAAGTTAGCGTTGACCATCTCACTATGTCGCGCGCACACCAATTTGCCTGAGGCATCCATGGAAACGGCAGGGTGTTCACGGCCGAGAGCAATCACTACGGTGCCCTCGTCGTAGCCCACACCAACTACAGTCTGGCGTCCGCCCACGCCGCGACACTGCACAGTCCAAACGCGACCCAGACCATAATTGAGTGTCGATTCGAGGCGGTAGGTGGTGGAGTGCCAGACACGCACAGTATCATCCTCGGAACCGGTGAGGATGACCGGGAGTTCGGTGTGGAAAGCCAGTGCACTAAGAGGGACGAAAGGGACAAAATGGATGAAAATCAAGATAAGGGAATAAATTGAAGGAAACAATCCAATGGAAAACGGTTTAGGTGTAGGAATGCATCAAGAATAAATAGATACGGGGTAAATAGGCGAAAAGATCACCCTCCCTGAGTGGATAAGCAGATCAGGAATGAAGGAAGGGACAAATACGGCAAGAAGTGGACGCGTGTTGGAGGAGAGTCAACAGTGGACGGAAAGATCAGGAATAGACGGATGGATTTGGGTTTGGATGGACTATTAAAATTAGCTGATCCGAAGAAACATGTTGAATGAAGAGATAGAAAAGCGGATTGACAAAAATAATGTGGACAGATCAGAGTAGTATAAAAAACCTACGTGACATTTTGTACATGTCCTTCAAGCACCTGCACGCAAAGCTTCGTCTGGTAGTCCCAAATTCGCACCGTATGGTCGTCTGATCCACTGGCTAAGTAGGGCTTATCTGGACTCGGATGATAGTCCACACAATTCACGCCCTTCTCATGGCCTTCCAGCGTGAAGTTGGCCTGTGGCGAGCCCAGTGACCAGACCTTTACAGTACAGTCCAAAGAGGCGCTGGCGAAGGTGTTATTGTCCTTTGGATTGATCATCAACTGCATTACGTAGTGTGAATGACCACTGAAGATCTTCAAGAGATAAATAAGCGAAGGTTTGAACGGAGGAGTGGACAGAAGGTGAAGTGGATGGGTAAGTAGAGAGGTGGATGAATTGCTTGGGAGTAAGCAAATGAATGAGACTAACACGCACCTCGGTGGAGTTATCGATGAAAAGATGGTCGAGTTTACAGTCAAGTAGAAGGGTGGACGAATGAATGCAGTAAACTGAAGTGAAAGGATAGATAAATGAGCAGGTTTAAGGATGAGGCTTCATGACTAGAGGAGTGATAGGAAAAAGATGACAAATTTGTGGAATACTTGAGAGAAGGATAGTTTACCCATTAGTTTGATAAATGGATGGGTTAGCAAGAGAATGGACGTCGCAATGAACGGTTGGATAGAGTAATGAATAATGAAACTAGACAACGTACGGAAAAGTGGATGGAAGAAAGGTTTAAGAAGTGGAAATAAAGGTAAGCGATTTGACCGATGGAAGCAAAAGCGAGGAAGAGAATAAGAAACTATGAGGATCGCTAAATAGACGAGGGGGAGGATACACCGATAGCGTGGTTAATTCATGGAAATTCTAGCAAGCTGACAGTCCGACTGATTGATGGGTGGTGCGTAAACTAACGACTTAGAGAAAGGATGAATCCGCTGATGGGTATATGGGTGAATGGATAAATTGGTAGGATCACGGTGGAGGAATGAATGAGGAGATAAATGATATGATGGATGAGTAGATGGATTAAAAAAGGCCCCAGTGAATGAATGGACAGGAGGTCCATCAGATGAACAGATGTATTGGAAAGCAGGTAAACGAAGTAGTGAATGAACGAACAAATAAATGAGTGAAAGAACGACATGGTGAGTTAATCAATGCAGGAAATAATATATGGTCGAAAAATTATACGAGTAGGCGAACGCCGAATTGAAAGACTGAACAAATTAACAGGCGAATGAAGAGGTGGACATAACGATGAAACAAACACCTCTCTTGACAAGATAAACCATATTGCTCTTTCAATTAACACAACATATGCACACACATCTAAGTGGACGATATGACCCATATTTCAGTACAAAAATTAAACTTGGACCAGATAGGTCTCGGCACACCTGTCAGCAGAGTGTAGAAGCCAAAAGACTGAAGAGCGACAAGAAGATGAATTGGGGCGAATCTGATCAACTAACCTGCGCACATTTCCAGTTTTTCTCCCAATCCCATAACCGAATCGTCACGTCATCTGAACATGTAAGGATGAGCGGCTGTGTTGGATGTACGACAATTGATCGAATGTAGTCACCGTGTGCTTCCACCTGCTGATGCACCCGTTCCAGGGTATTGTAATTGTAAACGGTCAGCTAAAAAAGTTAAAAGCAACACTTAGGTCGAACCTATCGCACAGACCAAGAGATTTCACAAGACAAACATACGCATTGATTATCTGCTCCGGTAACAATCCAATTCATTCGCGCAACGAAACGGACGGCGCGAACAGGAACAGGGCAGACTTCAAAAGTCTTAATTAGTTGTTGTGACTCAATGTTCCAAACATGAACGTTCCCGTTGTAGAGACAGGCACAAATCCATGGTTCGGTAGGATGTAGATCTACGGCTTTTACCCTGTCAGATCGCGAAGAAAGCTTTTTGCGTACGTCCAACCGAAGAGGCATAATACGGACTAAACTCTCTAATAGGTATTTTTCAACACACTTCCACTATATGCTAATAAAACGATCCAAGTAAACGCAAATGACGTGTAGACCTCACCGAGGGTCCACGAAACGTGCGCAAAGTATGCGGGTGATTTAAAGTTAAATCTAGCTGTTTTGAAACCTACATGTAAACAGCTTCAAATCCTAGAGCAAGGAAAAGCAGCAATTAAGAGGAGGTGAAATCTAAGGAGCTACAGTAATGCGGATCACCAAGATAGACGTAAGAGAATTTGTCGTTCAAAGGGTAAAATTTGTGCGCGGAAGTCAGTAAAACCACTTAGTTCCTTAGTCACCTAAAGCTTCTTTTGCAAATTTCATAAAATTTCAATCACTAAGGCCAAAGAGATTTGTGTATTGTGTTCGACCAATTCCATTCCATAACTATCCCTGTGCATATTCTTGGTCGGTGATGAACCCATAGTGCTTATAATTGGTAGCCCGCTTTGGTTAAAAATGTAGGGTTCTTAGTAAGACAGTCGACAACATTGACACAATTGTAATACGGTAGATGCCTATTTAACTATTAGTTCTTAAATAGACGATTTGGGTCTCCGCCACTTTGCTGCCGCCTTAAGGGCTAATGTCTGGAGCATGCCAGTAGCTCCAATTCCTATTTTAGGTCAAATTCATGGATCCTTTACGAGTAGTATGTCTTTTTCAAACTTAAAGATAGAGGCTACTAAGTGATTTTACTTAAAAATTTTCTTGTGAGTATAAAAGGGAAGGCTCACAACGCATTATTGATGACCTGTCTGAACATTCAAAATACAAATAGTAAATAAAACACTATTGTGCTTCCCAAGTACTGCAGCGATCAGATATTTGCTCTGAAATATGTTTGTGCCACGCTTTAACGTGAAATTCAAGTCTTTTCTTCAAGTTACGTTATCAGAAAATCCGTGTACTCGATTTATTTCCTTCATCTCAGATTTCAGGACGGTTCATAGTCATGCGAAGCGGTTGCGTTTAAAATGAATATCAAACACTAAAGCTTCTGCTTGTAAGGCCAGTGGCAAAAGCGGCATAAAGTAAAGGAATTTTTTCATGCAAAAACTAACGAAGTAAAAAGGTGTGCTCGGTTCAGCTGACCCTAAGACAGAAGAATTTACACAAAGACAAAAGTAAGCCTTAGATTTTTTTAAAGTAAGTTGGGAAAAAACCGTGGATTTTTTTGCATGGTGATATGTAATGCGCACTTTATATGTCACGTTATTTTAAAATAAAATTGCAAAAAGTCAAAAAAGATTAAAATTTTTTAGTTTTTTATTTTTTTTAAAGAGCTACACCTAAAGATTCTTTTTTAATGTATTAAAATGTATTTACAAGGTAAAACTTTTAAACCCACGTCATACACAAGTAGCCAAAATAAGCGCTTTTGCTTGCTGGACGTAATGGCAGAGATAAAGCTTAAGTTGAAGGCTCCTACTCAAGAAAAGACAGTGTCTGTCAAAGACAACGGAACAATAAAAGAGGTAACCTATTTTTAGGTACGTAATCCCCTTTAGCTGCGTGAGGAAGCTGCAAAGGCTTTCGAGGTTACTCCCTCTCGTGTGTGTTTGATCTATGCCGGGAAGATCTTGAAGGATGAAAACACTCTTTCTGAGCATAAGCTTCAAGATGGTCTTACAGTTCATGTAGTTATTAAGGTAAATCACTTTCTCCTGTAACTCCTTTTTATAGCAAGTTCCACAGGTAAGTTGCTTTGGTGGAATTGACGTTTTTAGAGACCAAGTGATCAAGGGGGTTCAGCAACGACAACAAGCACTCCTTCATCAACATCCACATTGCATGCACCGGGGCAGAATCGCCCTAGCGGCGCCTATGATCCGCTTACCGCCTCTGCGGCCCGATTTTTTAGTTCCGGAGATACATCTCGTGAGTTTATTGCACGAGCTGAACTTGTTTAAACTTTAACGCACTTGTTTTCCTCTTATTTTCTTTTTTACAGCTTCTAGCTTTGCCTCAATGCAGCAAACGATGCAACAGCAGGTAATGCGCAACCCGGAGCTGCTCAGAAATGTCATGGAAAGCCCACTGGTGCAATCTCTTGTTAGTAATCCCGAAGTTATGCGTAGCATCATGCAGTCGAATCCACAGATGCGTGAACTAATGGAGGTTAGTTTTCTTGCTCTTATTTACTCTTTAGGGCTGAAATTCCTGGTCATCTGTAGAAATGGGGATTTGGCTAAATTAGCTTGGCTGTATTTAGTGTCTTGTTATGCGCAATAGAGCATTTCCTTTAGTTTAGAGTTCGTATTTTTACTCTTCTGGTCTTTCTAGTTCATTTTCTCGCCTCTGCGATGGAATATGAAGACGCGGTTTATTATAATTGATTAATCCTAAGAGGTTTTAACTTTTGGAAGATTTGCGGGTTTACGAAATCAATAATTCTTTACTCCTAGAACTTTACATGGCTGCGTGCTCTTCAGGCTTTCCAATATGCGGGTAGTTTTATTCATCTTTATCGAATGAATTAGAGTCGTGGTTTACTCCTTTGCTTAGTTTGAACGCACATTTTCTTGGGTGGAGCGTTTGTGTAAAAGTGCTTCACACTGACTACGTGCATTAAAAAAGATTTTGGTGTCTCAACTTTGGCCGCTTTACCATCGTTAACTGGCATCCGCCACCAATGCTTGTATTCCAACTGTAACTTAAACATTTGTGGTCGTTCGGTTTTTTTGACAGATTGATTGCTAGAGTGGATGTTTTTATGATTCTAAACAATTTGAAGGTCCGACGTGCTCACCTGGAACCATCACGCATCCGTTAATTCATTACTCTGGTAGTCTTAAATCCCCGTTTTATAAAATTCACCTTCTTCTTCAGCTTCTAGGAGGAATATTTATTTTGGGACATCACGAGCATATGAATGTTTGGATTTTCTGGACAACTTATTTGACATATTTTCATTTTGTTACACTCGGTACTATTAATAATCACCAGTTTCAGTTCTCGTGTACTTGCTTACATGCGAACGCGCCGATTTTAAGGAAAGCATCTGGTAGTTGATTTTTTGACACTTGAAGGCCTCAATAGCGTTAACATTTGTTAGTAGATTGAGTTTATCCTCAGTTTTGCCCAGTTTTACAACTTCATTTGTGTATAAATCCTCCCAATTTATGCATTCTTTATTTTGAAAGTCTTCAACCAACCCTATCAGGATTAGCAGCCGTCCGGGAGGTTTTGGGTATTCGAGAGTGGCATTTTTTATTGAGCAGGACTTTTTGGTGTCGTGAACTATTAATTGTACACAAACGGTGTTACCTTTTAGCGCAATTATTTTTGTCGTTTTTATACGATAGGCACAGCTCATTAGAATTTTCGATGCATGCAGCCATCATAAGTCCGTGGTCCTACCCCGTAATCGAAGTTGTCACGGCGATTAACTCAAGGTGTTGGCTTATCTATCAACTAGGAATTTTCTTCTGTGGCACAATACTTAGTCAAGGATCCTATCATAGTATATATTCACTCATAAGTATTCGCCAATCTCTGGAATCTGCTGCCCAGAACTGCCTTTATGATGAGGTTGTAAAGCTAGTAGGAATTTGTCTCACGTTAACCATATTTCGACACGTTATCCTTTATTTCTCTAAATATTCGTTTTTATTGTCTCAAAGGTGTCTTTTTTTGAATCACTAACCATCTCTATCGTTATTGGACGTAATTATTACTGAACTTAAGATTTAATGTAACAGTAGTCCGTTTTCTATCATAATCTCTTAGAAAAATCGTCTAACACACTCCAGTTGTTCCATTTTTAAATTCGACTTCGTTGTTTAGGACACACGATGTTTTCTATCCACAGCTATCATAATCTATTCAGGAACGCAAATCATGCGTACGTAGCACTGGTAATGGACCTAAACATTTTTTGGCGTCACAAGATTTCAGATATATAAAATCTCAGTTTCGGCACTTTCGATCAGCATGGTATTCTATTAAGAGCATAAAATTACTCCTCTCCTCGCTTTTCCATTCAGCGCAATCCCGAATTAAGCCAAATGCTCACCAACCCTGAGGTTCTCCGTCAATCTATGGAAATCGCTTCCAATCCGTCGTTGGTGCAGGAGATGATGCGTTCCTACGACCGTGCTGTTCTTAATCTTGAATCCATTCCTGGAGGTAGCGGTCACCTTCAACGGATCTACGAGAGTGTTCAAGAACCCATGCTCAATGCTATGCAGGGTGGTGACGCCAATAACCCTTTTGCTGACCTTGCAGGTGGGTCGTTGAGTAACAATTTTCGTTGATCATTCTTCGGTGTATTTTTGATGATTCGTATCGTTTATTTGTCCACACAGGTCCTAGAAGGCGAAGTATGTTTCCGTTATTTACTACTATTTTCCATTTTTTTATTGGTTGAACTTGCAGTTAGAATTCCGGTTTCTTACCTCTAACCCTCTTTGTATTGTTGTCTGGAAAACGGTTAAAGAGCTGTCTTTTAGATCGACAAAACTTAATTTCCGAACCATTGAGCTGATTTGGGCCACTGTTAGTGGTATATTTAGGGTCCGATTTGCATATTTCTAGCAGCTTTCTTATTTTCACATAGACCTGTCTTTAAGCTGGATTTCAATAAGTCTATAATTATAAATTGCTCATGTTTTAATTTAGTTGTTTTCATGCATGGGTATGAGTAGATTACATAACGAAACGGTTGAAATCGATGTGGTACGCTCCTAGTGTGTGTAAACTCGTTTGCTTTCTTCTGAAGTGCTTTTTTTTCAAAATTAGCAGCATATTCAGTCATCAAAACTACTGTGCAGACCTTTGGAAGCTCGCTTCGTCCTACATTTCCACTTCTTTTGTTTAATGTGAAGCGAATTTTATCAGATCCTCAAACTGCTTCATCGTTGGGTTGGTATTCTGTCCAAATCTCGAAGTAGCAGCTTTCTCATCCCCATCAATGTCCAATGGCTGTAGGAGGAGACCTTGCTAGAAAATGGGGATACTCTGCTTGGGATTAAAAAAAACCTGGGAATAATACTTTCCTTCCCTGGTACAAACTTGTTTCTGCTGCAATGAGTAGATGTGAAAGAACCTTTGTCCATTAAATTGTGTATCTTTCAAATGCGTGGTGTATCTAGTCATGAAGGTAAATGGAGCTCTCGTATGTGTTTCCAGAAGCAAATCTTAATGTGGCGCTGAGCTGCTTTAGCCAAAAAGCGAAGTACGTTTGTGCTGCTGTTGCCATGTTCTTTGTTGTGCCTATCCTCTAGATTTTTGGTTCTGTGGATGTTTTGCCTTCATTTTATTTCTTTTTTGAATGACCATTAGGAAGCACAAATAGACAGGCCGCTCCTTCAAATGAACCAATGCCAAATCCATGGGCACCGCCACAACAACAAACTGAGACCACGCCAGCTACAGCTGCTACAACTGGGGGAGGAGGGACTCAAACAACCACATCAACTTTGTCGGGAGGGGGGGCAACGACCACCTCGCTTCTTGGTGGGATTCCCTTTAACCCCGAGACCATGTCATCGGCGTTCCAAGCGCCCTATGTGCGCCAGATGCTCGATGTGATGGCATCAAATCCGGAGACATTTGAGGCCTTTCTGTCAGCGAATCCAGTGTGGAGTTCAGCTAGTCAGGACCCGGCGATGCGGGAGAATTTACGTCGAATGTTGCCACAACTAGCGAGGCAGATGAGTCGACCTGGTTTTGTCGAGATGCTTTCAAATCCACGAGCAATGAGAGTGAGTTGTTTTGTTTAGTGGCTGTGAAATTTTGGCCAAATCATTAGGTTTCATCGAGGAATTTTAGCCTTTGTTGAGGAGTTTTTAGCTATGGACACTTTCATGCCGTTTACGAATAAGTTCACCTACTTCAAATATTGATGGTTTGACCGTCTTATCAGCATCAAGTAAATGAATAGTAACTTTTGGGTCACCTTAGCCCTACGCTCAAGCCAACTAAACAGATTACTGTTTTGATCAATGGACATGCATCCATTGGTTTGGAGTTGCATTGATGGAACCTCATGTGTTGTTTTCTGTGCAAACTTATCCAGTGTTTTGTTATTGAACAGTTGCCTTTTGTCAGCTTTAAGCAACAGACTATCTAGCGCGTTGTTAGTGCCTTGAGAGTGAAGGATCCTCCTTTTCGAATCGATTTTAACTCCTTAGTTGTGTCAACTTACAGATTTATTGCAGGTTTTCCTTACACGATAAATTTGTGAGATTTCCTGCTTTATGTGATCAACCCTTGTCAAGACATGAATGATAGCATTTTTGAAGGGCCCTTTAGCTCTAACAAGTCAATAATCGGCAAAAAAGGTTGGTTAGCACAAGCAGCGGATAGAGGGGGTATTTTGGGCGTGGACCCCGCCCAGATGGTCGATGCTACGCTTGAAGGTGCGCCAATGTCAGGTGTGGTAGCCCCATGCCTGTATTTAATCCCCTTCATTGATTGGCAGAATTTCATCTCTCTGAGGGTGTTCCAGTGACACCTCGCCTGTTTGCAGACTCTTCAAATCAACATGTGCTTCTTCATAATGTTTACCATGGAGTAGTCAATGAAGTGCTTCTCTGTTGAGGCCGTGGCGTGGTACTTTGCAACCATTTCGTTGGCATTAGCTAATTGCTTTGCTTCTGACAGGCTATTTAGTGGTGGTACCAGTGGATTGCCTTCTCTCATGGCATGTCGCACAGCTGTCAGTTGAGGTCGTTTCGGATGGGGGTGACCGATTTGCCCTGACTTTTCTCCGAACCGAACCACGTTCACGTCTCAGTGTGTACGTGTGTGTGTGTGTGTGTGTGTGGCGACTGCTGTGCTTATTGGCCGTCGTGTTTCGCGAGGCGTTGCATTGCAGGAAAATGCTGTCATGTGTGTTTCAAGAACACCTTCCAATTTGTGGTGTCGAGTTCTGTGACACTGCGGCTGGTTTTGCACTGGGATATGTGATCTGGGGTCTGACTTGAATCTCATTGCATGTTTTAACTCGAGGGCACAGTGCTACACTCCATGTGTGTGTGTGTGTGTGTGTGTGTGTGTGTGTGGCGCTGGTTTTCTACTCTGAGCTGAGCATCACAAGCACACCCAAGCAACCACGTACACACACACGCGGACACGTGATGTGTTGTTTGTCAGGCTGTGATGGCTGGTGCGGCGTCAAATGCAGTGTTGTAAACAGGTTGTTTGAGTTGAGGGAAGTGAGGCGGATGCGTGTGGTTTTTGGTCGGCGAGTGATTTGCGTGGTAGAACCGATGACAAAAGAACAGCCAGCCGGTGTCGTGTTGGAGGCATGAAACATGTGGACTGTGTTGGTGGCGAACTTGCCTCCGAGACGGGGTCAGGTGGTGAGTGCGTTATCGCGTAGATGGACGGGCTTCCTTGGTGGTGGTAGAATGATCAAGTTTGTTGGATGGTGTGTGAGAGCCTGACGCCACTGTGTTCTGCTGAGTGGGTCAAGGAGAATGTCGAGTAGTGGTACCCCTGTGGGGGATTCATGAGACCAACGGCACGTGACGACTCAGCACGCTGCAGTCAGTCCACTGGCCGACGTGTTGAGTGAGGTGCCTAACTTCGTTGTGGTAGGTCACCTCAGAACTCTTCTTGGTCACAGCAGTGGGCGAAGTTGAGGCCAAGGCGGAGCTTCACTCTGAGATATATTGAACACGTTTTGTTATCTTTTCGATTGCGCTGGATTTCCTCCCCTACCTGGTATACTTTTTGCTAGTAGCAGCTTGCTTTTTATGCCTCTGAAGTGCGGTATTTGACATCACTGAACCACCAAAAGTACAACAACAACAATACGCGTATCGTAGCCTGCCGAAGACGTCGCTTCTTTGTTGAACTATGGTGAGTCCCTAACGAAGCTGGCGGATTCTGTCACCTTCGATTGACCGATGTATGTATCTTTGGTTGTTTTGGAGACATTGGATCTACTGATTCTCTGAAATTGTCTGTATCAATCAACTTTCTCCCGAGACCGATCTTTCTATAGGACGATTGGGCTTTGTTGTTGGGATTTTAATGGTCAATATTGGGGTGCATTAATTTCTGCCAGCTTAGGGTCGGAAAAGTTGTCGTTTGGGGCTTGGTTGAAGGCAGAGGGCAAATGCTTTGTACCTGTATTGTAATCACAAAGTTACTTTCGGCGGCGCCTGTCGCCTTGATGCCATTACAGATGCAGCCTTGTGTGCGTGTGTATGGTGTGGTTTGGATCAGCTAGCATCACGTGAGAGAGTGAGCGCTGCGCGTAACTGCGTTCTCTGTCACCTGCCTCTTGCACCACATTTGCGTGCCGCTGTGTGCATGAGAAGTCCCCTTTCCACAAGTACATTCAAATTGTCCGACGAAAATCGGCGGATCCCCACGCCACATCGCAGCCGCCTCAGTTTTCTCCCCTGGATGTGGAGTGTTGTGCTGACCAAATCAAGAGTGGCCTAAATCGCTCCGTAGACCTCAATCTGACCTCTCACTCAAAGTGTCAACTCACGCACCTTTGGATTCCAATTTTTGTGAATTTATCTTCAGGAGTTGAAGCTCAAGGTCGCGTGACCAAACCCAGGCAAAATATTTGCCATCTTTCAAGTCGTATGGGGTCGCATTACCTACATCTGTGCCCACTTGTTACTGCACTCGTCTACTTAATTTGCTTTTCATTAGTGTATGAAGTCTTTGTACTCAATTAATTGGTTTGGTTCTTGAGGTATTATACCAAATAATTGTCCTTTCTTTTACCACCAGCTACTGACTAATTTGTAAGTACTATATTTCCAACCCACGCAAATTTTTGTATCCACTTTGTCGCCATCTTCATCTGCTCACGACCCTGTCAGTGGTGTGTCTGGTAGTTCCCTCCTCACCTTTCTGACTACTAGCTCATTTATCTAGCCATTGTCGTGTTGACTGCCTTAAGCAGTATGTGGCACATTACGCCTTGATAGGCAATGGCGCAAATTCAAGAGGGTCTTCGAATCCTCCAAGAGGAGGCGCCGGACGTCTTCTCCAGCATGACGAACATCAGTGGCGGTGCTTTCAGTGCTGCCACAACCGATCTCGCCACCACCACCACCACCACTGCTTCATCGACTGAGTCTACTGCTTCGGAAGGAACGGAAGGCACTGCTGCCATCACACCCCCACCTACCAATACCTCGTCGCTAGGCAATGTGGAATTGGCCTCGCTTATGGCCAGCCTTCTCAATGTTGCCCCATCGGGACAAGATCCTGTACGTCAGCAATTCTATTTGTTATCAGCAGCACTCCTCTTTAGATGTCCCTCTAGGCTACTTGTGCTATTGTTTCAGTAGTACTCTCATTGCTTCCACCTACCTCAAGCGATTTTCAGTAGTATCGGCTTAGGTGATGCAATTTGGAAGTTTGCTGAAAGGCAATAGTACTGCCTGTGTGCTGGCTATCTCCGTCGGTTCCATTCCCTTCTAAGCTCTAAGCCGCTTAGTAACGTGTTTATCTTCTAGCTTCGAAGCAGTGTGCTTTTTATTAGACAGCTTGCTTGTGATGTAAGTGGCCGCATATGTTTTTTGGCGTAGTCGTCAATCACGCCCTGCGAGGTCCTCATTGATGGCAGTTTTGCGGAGGTCACTATGTTGCGTTTTCCCGCCCTTCCCCCCTTTTAGGGTAATGTGCAGCAACTGCCTCCAGAAGTAAGGTACGCCTCGCAGCTGCAAACGCTTGCCAGCATGGGATTCACCAATCAGTCTGCCAACCTGCAAGGTATGTCCCAACTCCTCATTCTGCCGGTGCCCACGCATGCAATTGGCCTAACGATGTGCGGCTCTTTTCTCCATTCCTCTTTTGCAGCCTTAATCTTCAGCCACGGGGACGTAAACGCAGCAATCGATCGACTTTTGGGTCAGGGTAACTAATGGATACGCAAGAAAAAGAGTGATATCGGCGGCTCCTAGACATTGGTGTTTTCCCATCCAACTTTCTCACCTTCTTTCCCCTCTTTTCTACCTTCTGCCATGCCATTGCCACCACAGGAAGAGCAGTCGCTGAGTGACAGTCCGTTTGTGCGTGTGTGTGTGTGTGCGTGTACACTCATCGCCCGTTTTTCTGTGTGTACCATCGTCACTTTTCCTCCTACTTTGCTTCGGCTTGAAGCAACTGTCTGCAAGCCTCCTTCCCCCCCTCCCGTTACCCCTTTTGTGTTTGGTTCGTGCGTGTGCGTGTCTACTGCCGCCTCCCTCGATCGATGATTTATACTACTGCACACTATTATTATTGTATGGGCAAAGTAAATATATTGCTGTGTGACATTAACTCGCAAGCTTTTTGGAATCCACGTAACTCCCTCCCCCTTCCCCCTTTTTTTGATCCTTGTTGGAGAGAGGACCTTGTCCGGTGATTCTTAACTTGGTGATACATTTGGGCGCAGGTTTGACTTCGTCGCGCACTCAACACTGAGGTAGGTGATCGGAGGTTGTTGAAGTCAAGCCGGGGGGGTCGCTTCCTCTCGGGCGTGAACTTGATCGCGGAGGTGGGATCTACGTGTTTACTCAGGTCATGGGTGTGTATGGCGTTGACATACGCCCAGTGACGGATCACAGATGCCTTCACCTGAATGAAATCGGCACCTGGGAGTCATTTTTTCATGTTGCTGACCCGTCTTTTTTAATTAATGGTGGCTGGCCTTGGTCCCAGTTCATTAAACTACTGAAGTCTCTGTAAGTAGCAACTCGTGACGCAGACCTGATTATGGGGTGTCGCTACTCCACCGAGTGGAATTCGCGTTACCTACGCTAAGTATTTTCCTAGATTGCTCACCATGAAGCATGGAATCTCTCTAAAATGCCTTTTTTTCTCGTGGAAACGGATTTTTTGAGCTGTAGTTGGGCATTTGGAATTGGGAAGAGTTTGCAACGCAACCTTCTCTTCTTCATACTCGAAGAATACGTGTCGCTGTTGGCAGCGCGGTACAACTCGTGAGTGGATGCGAAAGGTTTCGGTCACATTGCACCGATTCAGGTGCCGTTGTGAAATAAATAGAACTTGTTTCGTGCTGTTGGGAAGTATGCTTTTGATGTGTGTTTAGCAGTGCCGGCGACCTGTCGAATGCACCATTCAATCAGCTTATTCACTGGATCTCGGCATGAAGCCCCGCCTTGGCTTCAACTCCACCCACTGCTGTGACCAAGAAGAGTTCTGAGGTGACCTACCACAACGAAGTTAGGCACCTCACTCAACACGTCGGCCAGTGGACTGACTGCAGCGTGCTGAGTCGTCACGTGCCGTTGGTCTCATGAATCCCCCACAGGGGTACCACTACTCGACATTCTCCTTGACCCACTCAGCAGAACACAGTGGCGTCAGGCTCTCACACACCATCCAACAAACTTGATC